TTTACCACAAATCCAATTAGCAAAGTTATTTTTCATATCACAGTGGTTGAAAGTTTGTGTGCTTAGTTTCATCTTGCTGTTATATAAGACAGCCAGAATATAAAACTGAATAAGTTTTACTGAAAAAGCCAGGTTGGCTTTAATTGTAGCAATACTTTAGGCTGTAGCATTTCAAAATAAAAACTATTAAATACATGCACCACTGCTGACAGGATTTTAGATGATCATTTTTTGTAATGCCGAGAAACATCTAAAGATACTTGTCCAGTTTTCTCGTATTGCCCTGTGTGCAAAATAGTTGTGCCATTAGTAGAAATCTAGCTTTGTGTATCTGGGATCCACACCAAACTCCTTGGTTTGGCACTGGAAGACCCCAGGGACCTAAAAGACATTCATTTTCATAGTCTTTGGCGCTTTGTACAAATGCAAAGAGACCATTTCTTCCATGAGATCTAAGACTGGGATCTTGCCAGGTAGGGGCCTACAAGATAACTTTACTGGTCTAAAATGATCTAACCTAAATATTTTTGATCAGTTGCAGATCTTGTTCTCTCATTAGTTAGCTTCTTTTTTATTAAATTAATATATTTAAAATATTGGACCCAGTGAAGTACCTGTTGGTAACATTTTGCTATGAGGAAAATGTACCATTTATCCAAGCTGGAACCCCCACCCCCCACCATCTTTTAGCCAGTTTTTGGACAGTACTTTGCCTCTCACCATGACTACTTAAGTTCATTAGTAGCCTCTTGTGAGAAACTCTGTTAATGCCTTTTTTTAATGTTATTAGTGATAAGGATTTCTTAGGGTGGTATCTTTTATTGGATCAGCTGCATAGCTGGGATACAGTTCAGAGTTGAATGCAAGATATTCTTCATCTGGTGACCTGTAGTCCAATAAAAGACATCACTAAGAATTCCTTGCCTCTTACATAGGGCATGCGCATAATTTTTTGTCCTGCAACGTGGCAGAGATCCACCACTTCAGATCGATTAATCAAGTCTGGTTCGTATGTGAGCTGATGCGCTGCGTGCTGCGCCGCGTGCAGTTGTATGAGTGTCAAAATGTGTGTTAGTGCACAGAAAATGGTAATAGTGCGCTTTTGAACTAAAGCACCTTCGATGTGTTTTAGTTAAAAAAGTGTGCCTCTGCCATTTTCTCAGCGCTGACATGCATATCACTGCTTATACAACTGTAAACATCATAGCACTGGGTGCTTTTCAAAGTGCCCAGTGCTGTAGTGCTTGCATGTGTAAAAATGCCCATAATTCTTGGACCATCAACATCACTCTAACGCTACTGTAACATTTTTGAATATCTAAATAAATATCAAAGTTGAATATCCAAATAATATGTGCTGACTTTGTCCACTACTTTATTGCCCAATCCCTTTCAGCCCTACTTTCCTATGATTTGTGAGATATAATTGTCATTTGCAGACATTGTGCTGATTAAGCCATACTGTTTAATCTTCCAGTTTTCTCATTTTGTTGTGAATTGTGCATTTAGTTCACCAGGTACAGATATGCAATTCTGTAGCCTTTTTTTTTTATGTGTAGGTACAGTGTTTGCTGCACTCTATTCCTTTGGTATGGTAGGTGTTGTTTAATGGAATCATATCCTTTTTCTAGCAGCTTAGCCCCTTGGTGCCTGAATTTTTTATGGAGGCTACCTGAATTTATACAATCTGAGCGTGGTAAATCATCACTTCTTAAATTATTAATTTGTTTTGGCACTTCTTCTTACGTTAACTTAAATCTGCAAGAGTACCTCATACTTATTACCTTGTTCCAGATTTGCTTATGTCTGGTATCTCACTGATATTCTCAGCCATGAAGACAGAGTCAAAGAGATCAATACAGCTTCTTTCAAGCTTTTTATCATTCTTGATTTCTCCTTCTAACTCCTAATTGTTTAACATACTCAGAAGTTCCTTTCAAGACTTCATGCTTCCTACATACTTAAAGAATTCCTCGTTACTTGTTTTTATACTTTTAACTATTTTCTCTTCAGAAATCCATATTGGTTTTCCCTCTTACGTTACATGAGAGGCAAGAATTTTTGTGGTTGATATCTTGTATTGGACCAACTGCATGGTTAGGATAGCTTTTGGGTATCACAGTACCCTTCCTTGGGTCTCTAGGACCCCCTGTACACATGCAGGTAAAGACATGATGGGATCTAATGCATGACTCACACAATCTCACCTCCTACCATTACACATGTGCATGACAGGAGGTGCGAGTGTGGGATCACACATTAGATTCCATTGTGCCTTATTGCCAGTGCAGGGGGAGCTGGATCCCGGGGCCAGAAGATTGTTGCAATCCTCCAGCCTCAGGGGTTTCCTTCGCCCCCAGGGCAGGGGAAGGGGGGTTGTCCCTGTGGTGATGCCCTGGTCTGGTGGGTTTCTTGCACCCCTGGGGCAGAGAGATTGCCACAGTGGTGATCCTCCAGCTCCAGGGGTTTCCTGCACTCCTAAGCCATAGCAATCACAGCTGCTGTGATCCCTAGGGCTTGGGGGTTTTACACTGAACGTGGTGCACCCCTGCACCTGGGAGGCCTATCAGCTGACAGGGCTACAAGCCACAGTGGAGGCCCAGTACGTATGCAAATTAAAACTCGATAGCAACCAGCTATAAAGTTAGTACACATTTTAGAGGTCTAACTTTATAGCTGGTTGGAGCTTCTTATGGCATGGTAGCTACTTTGCATGTGTAGCTGGTCTTCAGGTAATTGTGCAGTGAACCAATTATTTGCGCAATACCTGTAAGGTGTGGAGGGGGCCTAGGCGAGAAGCAGGCCGATGGAAGTAGATGTAACCTCTAAGCATGTCTAAATCTAACCCAGCCGGAGCTGTCCCAGGGGGGGAGGGGTTGGAGCTGGGTTGGAGCTGGGTTGGCTTTGCATCTGGCCACTCCCTGCCACCACACCTGGTCTCTGCACTGCCTGATTTGCCCTGGGCCCTGCACCCTGCTATGGTCGTCTCTGATCCCAGCCATGAAGTTGGCCACCCACTAAAATTCAGCTACAACTTCCCCCTCTTATATCATACCTGGTGTAATCTGGGCTCCTTTTCATTGGCTTTATTAGGATTAGATTTTTCTAATATGAAGTCTGGGTTGGCTTGAATAGTCAGGTATGACTATTTCGATATAATGGCTTTCTCATTGCCATTCTGGTCCTTTTCTTTTATTTATTTGTTTAATTCAGTAGTTTGTATGCTTTATGAAACTCTAATGCATCCATACTACATCTGAGGATTTTATTTTCTTTCCTTCAAACATTGGGGATTTTTGGCTACCTCAGTTTCATTATATTACAATCTACCTTTTTATTTTTTGGTACCTTATTTCTGTCCAAGATCTTGACTATCTTTATTGTAGTTACTCTTATTTAGTGGCTCATCTTTTTTTAATTGTTGAATCAACTCCTGTGTGTTACATGAGAATAAATTGAGAAGAAATATCTTAACTGTTATGAATTTTCTCTTAATTTTTATATCCTCATGCTGTTTGACTAGTTTATATGTGGTCCATTGAAGTCCTCCATTATCACTATTATCATGTTCAATCTTGTTAGATTTTTGATCTCTCTCTGCTTGATATCCTTTTCTTGATCTGGAGGCCAGCAGTATAGAGAGTTAAAATCATCATATAATTTTAAACAATTCATTCTCTGGCAGAGTTTGTATTCATTGGTCCAGTTTGTATACTGAAATTTAAGAGCTGACCCCATTATGAGTCCTGTAATACCCCAAGACCACATTTACCAGAGCAAAAATGTTACAGATCTTGCAAGCTACTGCAAAAATACAGTTTTATTCTATGAACATTCATATAGCTTGTCTTCAAGTCAGATTAATTATACAGAATTTAAACATATGGATATGCTGTTAGAATCTATAAATGTGATGTATTGGCTCTTAAACACTTCAACAGACTATAAAACTTTAGGTATGCTTTCAGAATTCTTTAATATTAAACCTCTATGTTATAATGAAGAACCCATGATAGCTTTTGAACAGTACTGCAAAGACTGAGTTAATTTAACTGTATTTAACATGTTAGCTGAATAAAACAAAACTTACAGAAAAGAACTTACTTATTTGGAAGACTGATTTATTCAAGAAATAGTCACAAGAAATGTAGTGTTACCTATCAGTGTTTTTAAAATCTGGCAATGAACAGTCTCTGGATATATTTATACAATTCTAGATAACAGTCAAAGGGAAAAAATAGTTTGAAGGTTGGGGAACATCTATCTAATAGTTTCCTAAGAGTTGTCTGGTGTATTTTAAATAATTCTAGTAATGTGAAACAGATCATGTATAAAAGCACATACTTGCTGCTCAGTATAGTGAAGTATTTTTTATATTGGTAAAAACATAAAACCTAATCCTGTGCTCCTCTGCTTCATTGGGGTTTGGATCAGACCAATGGGAAATTCTGCCAAACACATTTAATGTTAGCAAGTTTTTGGTTTTTTTACTTCTAATATCTTCCAAAGAAGATTAGATGAGGTGACCCTAGAGGACTTTGCCTGTCCTCTCTGTATTTCTTTTTCTGAAATTATTTGCAGGAATAAATAATTACTATAATTATGTATCATAATAATTTAAAAGGCTGTTATATTTTACATGTGTATATATACTTAAAACAAAGGGTCACTTTATATAATTAAAGAAAAAAGGTTGAGTCAATCAGTGGTTATTTCTGGTTACTAATTAAAAAGTTTCTGCAAATTTTTATTCTATCATTTTGCAATTCTGAACTCACATTTTCAAACCTTTTAGATAATAATACTTGTTGAAATTAAATAGTCCATATAAGTTTTCTAATCCAATGTGTTTAAAAATCACAGCTGTTTATAAGCATTATCATAAGTTTCTTGCTTTCTTTGCTCTTCTTGTTTTTGGCCTTAGTTATAAATGTAGTGCAATGAAGCTCTCAAGCAGTTAACTAGTTCTAAATGTAATTTGATTTTTTTTTTCATTCAAGCCACTGCCAAAAAGCATGGTGTCACGACTCTGTGAATCAAAAAAAGTTTGTGCAGCAGCTGATATGCAACTTCAGGTATGTTCTTTGTTTTCAGTTCTCGCTACATTCAAAATCAAAAATCCTAAGTTATGGAAACTAGGTGAAACTAGTCTTCTAATGTGTGAAATCTTTAATTTTTTTTTTCATTCTTTAACTTTGCTTTAGTGACATTTCTCTGCAGCCTAAATATATGCACATTATTTTAAAATACATTTTTTTCAGTTCATTTACCTATTTTTTGGCTAGCATTTTCTCTGTCGCCTGTCTAAAACCCATTTTATCATTGGTTTGGAGGGCTCTTTCTTAGCACAGGAAGTTAAAAATCAGTCACATTTTTCAAACCTGGGTACCTAAGTTTAAGTTCCAATATCTAAATTGAGGCACCTAACTAAAACTAACTTGAAGTACTGAACACTTTAAATTGCATCAAAGTCTGTGGGAAATCAAGATATTTAATTTTAACAATCAAGTAAGTTTTATTTCATCTGTGAAACATAGATTTAGTATCCATTTTAAGCACCCAGGTTTGAAAATTAGTCTTTGTTGTTAAATGAATGTTGTCAAAGTTAGCAGTCCTGACTCTTCATCTACCTTATTACTTTGCTACTGCAGCTCTTGAGTGAGTATAGTCCCGTGTGTGTCTTTTACAACACTTCCTTTAAAAAGAAAAGCCAAACTTCCCAGGTCAGCATTCATGAACTTCCTTGCATTCACTGGTAGTGAGTGGGTGCAGTTGAATAAAGGTACACCTCAGTAATGGTTATTAAAATAAAAAGGAGGATTAAAAATTTATATTAAAATATTTTAGGATATTGCCTTTTCACAAAAAAAGAAAAAATAGGAAACTTCAGTGTTTTCAGTCCTAATAAATAGAGGTGCACTGATATATCGGTCCGATATCGTATTGGCACCAATATAAAGAAAATTTTCTGTATCAGAAATCAGCCCGATGCGGCTGATAATTTGTCAGCTAAATGCCCATGCGTGCACGCAGCCACAGCTCAGCACATACGCAGTGAGGAGCACAGCTGGCAGCACGGATTGCTGCGTGCAGCTGGTAAGTCTGGCATAGGGGAAGGGGAGGAGGGAGGGGCATGGGGGTGCAGATCAAGGACCCTATGGTGAGAGAGGGTATGGGGTTGGGGTAGGCACAGGACAGAGGCACGGCTCATTGGGGGAGTGTGGGAAGGGGGGCAACTCCCATTGCTGTGCATGGCTCATCTGGTGCTCGTCTGGTGGCTCCCGCCACTGCTCCCACTTTTCATCCGGGAGGGCATGCTGGGGGAGGAGGGGGGGAGTTATGTGCCCCTGGATCTGCACAGGGTGGGTTGGGGCCAGGCCCTTCATGGCCAGGCAGATCTGGGGGCCCCTACCCCCGCCGTGCCCTCCCAGACGAGTGGTGGGAACAGAAGCAGGAGCCACCAGACGAGCTGCACGCAACAGCAGGAGCTGCCCGCACCCTCCTTTTCCGTGACTGCCTAATGAGCCGTGTCTCTGACTTACACCCAACCTCAGCCCCAGCCCGCAGCTGCAGCCTGTCCCACACCACGCAGATCTGGGGGGCACATGCCCTGTGCACTGGGATTGGGCCCCGGGGTCCCAGCACCACTGCTTTCCACCCCTGTGCATCAGGACGGGGCCCTGAGACCCAGGGGTACAGCACTGCCCTCTTTTGCCACCTTGTGTGAGAATTGTGTCCTGGGCCTGGAGCTGTCCCCTGGTTTCAGATGCGTCTAATAAAAGATATTAGATTCACCCAAAGAACCTTGTGTGCCTGTTTAAACATAAGCGCATATCAACTAGATATAAAACATATCAACTAGCTATCAAATGTATTCAAATCCAAACCAAGTTTTATTCCCCCACACAGCATAGCGGGGGAAAAAAGCCTCGTCTTGGATCCAAATACCAGTTTGGGGCAGGTGGCAGCTCAGCTGTGGCTTTTGCCAGAAGTTCAGGGCTAAAGCTGGAGCTGAACCACCACCAGCTGTGGGCCATAATGGCTTGTTTGGCAGGGAAGGGAGCATGTGGCTGGCAGAGGGTGGGGGAGTCTGCAGCTTGTCTCACCACCCCTTGTCCCCTCTGTCTTTGTCTGCCTTCCCCACATCCTTTTTCCCCCTGCAGCCTGCCTCCTCCACCTTACCTTCTGCTGCAGCCATCATCCTTCCAGCCCCAACCCAGCGCGGCTTGTAGCTGCCATTGCTTCTTCCTGATTGTGGTGGGCTGAGGCCAGGCTGGGGTGGTGCTGCTACCGACTGCCTTGGAGAAACAGGGCTGTAGAAGAGGGTTAGGGGAAGAAGAAGGCAGGGGCTGGGGAGGGAATGAGAGGCAGACAAGGAGAGGGCACGAATTGGGGGGAAGGCTGCAGGGGGGATATGGGGTGGGGGACAGGCTGTAGGTTCCCCTCTCACCCTACATCCCCCTCACACTCCCTATAGCCATGTGTCCCTCTCAAATGAGCCATTCTGCCTGGGGCAGATAGCTTTAGCAGGGGGGAGCACGTGGGAGGGAGGGGCGCAAGCTGCAGGAGAAAGTTGGAGTAGATGGGGGGGGCAAGATGTATAGTGGGCAGGCTGTAGGGGGGAGCAGGTTTTGGGGGAGGCAGGGAGCCAGAGATGGGCACAGACATGGAGAGGCAGTGGCAGGTGGCATGGAGGGACAGGGGGCATGGCATATATTATAACAAATGTATCATTTTCCATGTATAGTGCAACAGTTTAGTCAGATGGCTGCTGGGGAGGTCATCCTAAATTCAAAGTTGTTTTGGATTTGGGTAGATACAGTAGAAAGATCAAATAGGTATAAACTGGCCTGAATAAATTTAGGCTGGATATATGAAGGGGGAGTTTAACGCTGGACAATTAAGTGCTAGAGCACTCTGCTAGTTAGGAGTAAATTGAACAAACAATGTATCTGGCTGTCTAAATACATTTATAATTATTTAAAACAAGTTTTACTAGTTCAGCCTGCATCTCTATATTTTGAAATATAAACATACAAGTTTGTGTGTGCAAGTTAAATCAATAAATGCCATCTTTATATTCATTAGTTTGAGTGTACAGGTTTTCAGGAGTTTAACCAAATTGATCCTTAAATCATGCTTTTAATTAGATTAGTGCCTATGTATGTGTGTCAGTGGTCATTGCGAATTGAGAGAGTTGAGGCATGCATCACCCTGCTGTGCTCCAGCTTGGGGTGCATGTCTGCAGGCAGGAATCTCCTAGTTGCGGATGCTTGTCCTATGTTGGGGTGAAGCATCCAGAGCTCTGTTTTCTCACAGGATCAGGCCCTTGAAGCCCCAAGCTGCTCCTGCCCAAGGCAGCCCAAGAGTGCAGGTGGCCACAGCCTACTTGCACTCTTCTACTGTAAGTGACCAAACATCAGCCTGAAAAAGATGTTACAAATTATGACTAGGGTCATTGTCATCACAAAATGTAGGTATTTGTGGTGCAACAAAGGGGTAAAAAGTCTGTTTGCTCATTTTTTGTGCTGCCATAAGAATTTTTATGGCAGTACAAAGTTGACATCTGTTTGCAGGCTTGGAAATGCAGTACAATCCACCTTGCAATGCACATTTGAAATGCACAATTGTTGCTTTATTTTCCCTATCCAGGCATTTTATGTTACTTAATTTGAGCAGTCTGAGAATCTTTACAATCTAGAAGGAATCCGGACATGAAGAACAGAATCACTCCCAACTATACAAGAGTTCTGAAAAAACAAAAGTTAATAACAATGAATGAAGACTCAAGACAAATGCCCTGTTCATAAGATCCAGCAATTTTGAATAATTTGGCAAGGTACAAAGTCAGAATTGGCTAAACCTGCT